TATTACCTTTTATGACCAGCAACAAATTCTTTCCTTTAGGTAGGTCATGTTTGGCAACTCCTGCATATATGGCCTAAAAATTAAAAATAATATGTTATACAATATTTTCCCACATGAACTTGAGACAATCTAGTGGAATAGGCAGAAAGATGTTACCAACATGTGGTGAAGTAGGGGGAATATAACCTAAAATTCTAAGGTCACACTGTTTTAGATCAAACTCCCATTCTGCCATTTAAGTATAATCTTGGGCTAATAATTTAAATTCTCTCTAGTTCAGTTATCTCCTTCATTAACTGGAATAATAACAATATTATTTACCTTAAAGAGCTATTATAAGGCTTAAATTAGCTAATATCTGTAAAGAATTTAGCTGTAAAGAATTTAGTGCTTGACATGTAGCAAGGCATTGGTAAAATTTACCTGTTATTACACAGCACAAATATGTAACAGAGATAGAGCTCACATCTGACTAGGCATCCAATCCTTGTTCCACTCCGTCTTGGAATAATGTAGCTAAATTTCAGATCCTCTGTGAAATATTTTTAAAATTTCCACTTCACTGGTCCAGAAACTATTAATACTTACCCTAAATCTCATGGGTAAACAAATTAGGCTGCTTAGATACTAACAATATGTGGAAGTAGGTCTAAGGGTTGATTCAAACACAGTACTGCTAGTCATATTATTATAAGGAAGAAAAATGTGTTTAAGGATCTGGCATTTTTCAAAAGTTCATACTCAGAACAAGAACTGTTAAAGAAACAACAGATACAGTCAGTCTGGAGCTTATCTCTTAGCTTAAATCTTCAAAGGACAGCCATGTCTCTCTCAACTAAATATGAAAGAATCAATGAGATAGTACTTATCTCCTCAATGAAGAACACGTAGACAACCATTTATTTTTCAAGCCTTCACAGCAGAGTGCTACTGTAGGATTCCAGTGGCTGCTAAGGTTCTGTGAGTTGCTCAAAATTGCTCAAGCTTTCCTACATTTTTATTTAGAAGAAGAAAAGAAGGCATGTGAGGTCTAAGAAAGTGATAAATTCTTTTTACCCTCAGTTAGCCACTTTCTTTTATGACAATAAGCACCATAGTATAGTATTTGCCGTTATCAAAAATAAATTTTTTAAAGTGTAGTCCCAATCTGTGTATATATTTGGTTTATGATTAAGTATGTAAAGTAGTGTCCTCATAGTTCTGAAATTTAAGGAAGATTAACATCTACACATTTTCTGGTATAATCAATTTATACTAAATAAAACAAAACCTGCCTCCCAACTCAGAGATAACTCTTTCAGCTTGTTAATATATATCCTTCAAGAATATACATACATACACACTTACACACACCACATTTACATATATGTTTATATATTGTTACCTTTATTGAGATTTACGTCATTTTTAAATATTCTTCTAGAACTGACTTTTGTTTTAGATTGGTTTTGTTCACTATATCATACTTTTCTTTCCAGTTGACTTTTATATCATATAAGTCAACATATCAATATATCATACTTTTCTTTCCAGTTGACTTAAAAAATAAATTTAAATAAATCTCTCTTTCATCTCCAAAAACTTGTAAATTATTACCCTTACGCTTTTAACATTTTAAAATATGTTCATACTCCAACCCTGACTACTTTATTGTAATCTATACAGATTCTCTCTGCAAGCCAGTAAAGTGTAGCCAGTAGTGATGTTATTCAGATTATACTAAATATATAAATCTTTTAAATACTTTATCCAACAAAAAATCCCCAAGAACCTATTATGTTTTATATTGTGTATAAATACATATATATTCCTATACACCAGCATTTTGATATATGAGGAAACACATTCTTCATCTAAATTGTATCTACTGATATGCATAAAGGTATTTCAGATTAAATTTATATTACAATTATTTATTTTACCAAGTATTATGAGGGAAGCATTTTGACATACTAAACAGATATTTTTCCCCTTTACTGGAATATAATTTCATCACATCTCAAGGTAATTATGAGAAATTGAAATACAAGCAAAGGAACATTCCCATAAATATCAATAAAGGTAAACAAATGATAATTTAAGGAGAAAGGTGAAAACATGTCTGACTTTTCAGCTAGATTGTTTTAATTTTTCCCTTGGTGAACCAGAAAAAACCCAAATTACCCAAATTTACTAAGAAGGTAGAGCCACACGATGATAATCAACACAAGAGTCCTTGCAACCGTCCAGAATTCAAGCTGTGCATATGGAAAATTCCACTGTTCCAAACAACTTGTATACCATGGGTGATTCTCTATAACTCATTTGGGCTATGAGCCATTTAGTAAACAAAAATTAGCCTTTTTTCCCCCAAAGATTGTTTTTTCTTATCATTGCATGCTCACAGATACGACTCAGGCTTGATGGATAACTTACTCCTAGCACCCTGCTTCCCAAAAATGGAGATCACAGCATTCTGTTTTACCCAACAGATAATTTACTCTCTTGACTAATAACCAGTTACATAGTAGGCAAATAGATTCAGATTTCTAAAATCTAATGGAAATTTAAGAAAGGTAAAATTTTGTTTAGCAAATACTCGTCAAATTATTAAATTCTTACCAAGGTGATCAGTAATGTTGCCATAGGGCTAGTAAAGTTAGGAGATTTTCACCATCCCTACGAAAGGGGAAGCCACTTAAATTTAGGCACACTCGAAATGAATCCTAAGAAGTCTTTCTAGACTAAAAGTATTTTCTAAATTCCATTCAATTAACAACTATTGAGTGCCTGACAAAACTTGCTAAGTAATTCTGTTGGATAAATAGATATCTCTCACATGTACGTTTTGGGTTCGACATAAGGAATGAATATGGAATATGAAGGAATATGGAACTGGCCCTGGAGGAACTTATAATTTAAAATATAAAGACATGTACATAGAAAATACGTATATGGTATAGGAAGCAGATGGTGCTATACGTGTTAAGAAAAAAAATTGCTGGGACATTGTGCTATGGGCACCAAAAGGGAGGAGTCAGGGAAGAGGCAGAGTTTGAAGTGGTTCTTGAAGGGCTGTAATGATTTGGTCCTAAGACCTGGAGAGGAGCATCTCAGGAGAGACACTCACACCTGCAATGGCATAGAGGTGCACAAACGCAGTTTGATAGGACATGGCAAGCCGGGGAACATTTGTGAATAGGGAAATGGTATGATCAGGGTTGTGCACGGGGAAGAGCAAACTGCAGAAAGTAGGTAAACTCTGCAGGAAGGTGGAAAGGCTGAAGGGGAGGGAATGGGCTTCTGGGGGGTCCCTGGAAACATGGAGCTGGAGCTTGGGAACAGGCCTGGGCTGTAGGTAAGGGTTTGGGAATCTGCGTGTTATCTTCCTAGTGTTTATACTTGAGACGTCCTGAGGAAAGCAAAGAACCAGGGCAGGTTCTTGCTGGAGGGCGATGGTATCACAAGGGCCCCCCTTCCACACTGAACATCCCATCCAATGTCTGACATTTCAAACATGAAGCACAAAGCAAGGTCTATGGGGAGGTGGGAAGTCAAGGTGTTGAGAACCCGAGAGGATAGTCCTTCCCAGTGCACATATCGGCTAAAACAAGGATTAAATGGAATACATTTAAACAGTGTATTGACCTCCCTCAATAGCCATGTTTCTTCTGAGCCTACAGGAACTCTGAAGGCAGTCCCAGCATTTGAATATATTGTCGTGGCATGCATTGTTTTTGAAAGGGTGTTTTAAGCTACTTTATGTGTTTTCCTGAAAGCTCTGTAACTGTGCCTGCTGTCTCTATTTCACGCCTGTCAAGGAGTACTTGGGGCAGGAACCTGTAGGATCCAGTGGTGTTATTCAAGTTCTTTGTCTTTACTGAGCCCTGAAAATGGGGATATGTCTGGGTGTCCACCCTGAGGCCTCTCCTCAAGGAAGAACTTGGCATAGTTTTCCAGCCAGTAAGTACACGGGCAAAGGAAAGAAAGCAGGGTATGAATAGCGCCCCCGTGGGAAGCAAGAGTTAAGACTGCCACCGACCTGGCTTTATCCTAACACCCAGGAAAGTGGGGTCACTCCGGGCTAGTGACGTCCCCCCGCCGCCCCCCAAGCGAGCGGCGCCTGAGGTGCCTAGAGGAAAGTCAGATCCTATCTGCGCTCCTAGTTATCCCCGCAGCTCCTTCTCCGGGAAAATAATACTGCTCCCAACATTCAGAAGCCATCTGTCCTCGCCCCAGTCGAGCGTCCCGGGGTCGAGCAGCTAGTCCAGGGCCAGGGGCTTGTAGGGGGCGGGCGGGAGGAAAGCCCTGCAGCTGGAAGCAGAAGGGCCGGGGAATCCCGCGAAGCCGCCGGAGCGCGTGGCGGCGGGGCGTCCCAGGGCTTTCCCGGCCGCCGTGCGCGCGGCGGCCGCGGGGCTGCGGACCCTCCAGCCCGGTGCAGCGGGTGGCAGCCGCGGAGCGAAGCAGGTGGGTGTGGGTGTGGAGCCTGGCCCGGGCCGCGGGGAGCGGCGGGCGCGCGGGAGCAGAGGGAGGCTCCCGCCGAGGTGTGGGCGGCGCCCGCCCGCGCCCCGGCCGCGCCCAGGGTACCGGAGCGCTGTCCCCGGCCGAGCGCACGGCTCCGGAGCGGCGAGGCCGAGCCACGGCGTGCCCCGCGGTGCCTGGCCGGCCGCACACCCTGCCAACCTGCCCCACCTCCCCGCCGCCCACCTCGAGAGCCGCTAGCGCCGAGTAGGAGGAGGAGTGGGGGGAGGAAGAAGAAGAGGAGGAGGAAGAGGCGGCGGCCGCTCCTGCCCGCGGGTGCGCGGAGCGCGGGAGGAGGCGGAGCGGGAGGCTGGGGTGGCCGCGGCCGTGTGTGTGTGCGCGCCGGGCCGGCGAGCCGCGGGGCGGGGGACCGGCGCCCCAGAGCGCCCCGCCTCGCCTCCCGCGCGCAGCCTCTGCCCTGCTCCGCCACAGACACACACCCACCAAGCACCCCCGCCCCCGCCCCGCCGGCCGCCGCGCCTCGGGCAGCCCCGGCGACGGGCGACTCCCGGCCGGCGCGGCTCGCTTTCCGGCTCCCTCCGCGCGGCGAGCGCAGCCCCGCTGGATTTTTCCTTTCCCGTTCCAGCCCTCTCGTCTGCGCGGCGCGGCGCGGCGGCGGCAGGGGGATGGGGGCCCCGCCTGGGGAAGGGGGCGAAGATCGATGAAGATTATTGTTCTTTTTAAGGATGCCTTAGCTTCCTCCCGCCGCCTCTCCTTGGAGCCTCCCTACTAGAGACGGCGAGCCACCGGAGCGAGGGATGTAGAGAGAGGGGGAAACACGCCGGGAGCTGCAGCCGGCCGGGGAGACCCTCCTCTCTGTGGAGGGGAGGGGGATTTCCAGCGACACATCATTGGCGAGGCGGATCGTCGCAGGGAGAGGAGCCCCGGAGCGAGCGGGGAATCCCGCAGCCCTTTGTGGAGCCCGAGCCCGTGCCGCCTGCTGAGCGGGGTCGGTGGGAGCCAGGTAAGTGGCGGGGGCTTTGCTGCTCCCCGAAGGGGTCTTCTTTTAACAGGGAACCGTCGCGGCAGCCTAGCCAGACTTGAGTTGCTCAAGGAATTGGAAACTGCCATATGGCGCCGAGTGGACTTACACACAAAGCTGACTTAGCCCTGAGAGGGCGTTTAATGCAAGGCTCCTTCCCGGTGGGGAAGGCACTCAAAGTGCTAGCCCCTGAAAAGCTTCCCAGCAGCCTGCCTGGGGAGGGATGGGGAATGTTATTTCTAGGAGAGGAGCTCTTGTTGCCTTCTGTTCATTTGTTGGTAAATGCCACACTCACACGCACACACTTGTGGGACTGGATTTAGGGAGTATGATGTCTCTCTCTGATGTATGAACAGTCCCCAGAACACAGAGCCATGCATGCATTTTATTCTCCAAGCGCTGCGCGGTTTCTGTTCTGTAGCATGATTCCTGAGAGGGAGAACGGGTCTCCAAGGAAAGAGCTTCATGGCTGTTTCCAACACACTCTGCGAGGGGACTTGGGAATACATTTGCCCTGAATGGCACCAAAATATCATCGACCACTTGCTCATCATTTGCTCCCAGTGCTTAATGACCCCTTTCAAAATAGTATCCTGCCATCCATTTTCTCGAGTTATGTGCGTTTATGTGTATTCATTCATAAAAATTGTCACTGTGCAATATGCACAAGCATGCCATTTTTGCAATATTTATGATTGCACAACTGTTTCAACAGTAAATAATAAATACAAGATTACACTGGCAAAATTTAGTATGCACAGATGTACACTAGGTTCATGTCACGCATGTTCAACATTTCTTCTAATCAAGTTATTTTTTGCATTGATTGGCTTTTCGATTTTGCTGGGAACTTGATTTTCTTAAGTCCAAGACAAAGGAAAAGTAAACATTTTATTGTTATTTTTAAATATGTAGTGTTGTGTGGGACAGAGGTCTCTTGGTTTATTTACCAATAAATGTCAATCAAGATACTACATTTCATAGGACAAGTGAAAAGATTTCAGTCAAAGATCTAATCTTGTCAGTGCTGAATAACTTAAAGCAAAGGTTTTGTAAAAGAGGGTAACATTTTAAAAATTATATATATATATATACACATAAAGAAAAAGTTTCGCTTTATCTATTTCACTCTTGAGGGGTGTGTGTGTCAATAAATATAAAGTTGTCCACAGCTTAACTTGTAATACATGAATAAAACCTATAGACATCTAGACTAGAGAGGTCTTTGTTTTTAAATTAACTAAAACTTAAACAGTTCAGTGATTTGGTACATTATATATGTGTATGGCATTAATTGCTGCTTGAAGTGGTGTTTTTTAATGTAAGGCATGAAAAATGCTTACTTGTGTTTACATAAACTTTCTGAGAATTTTGAAGATCCAATGCATAAATAACTTTTCCCCTCACTGAATGAAAAGTAACCTCATCACCTAAAAGAGTTAATATGATTCCACAAAGTAAATGCCATATTGCCCTCTCAGTTGCTTTCAAGTTCAGACCAATTGTTTATCACAAACAGAATTCTGTCTAATGCATCCTTCTTCCTTTTCTGGAACTATGGAGACTTTTGGAGAAAGGAGTGAATCACCTGGCAGTTCTCTTTGCTTTCTTCCTTCTTTGAGCTTCACCTTTCCCTCTCCATGTGAGTGTTCACAAATCTCCCTCATACACAAACTCACACGCACTGACTTCAGAAAATAACTCCACTGCCTGCCACGTTGAGAGTTCTCATCCTCGCATGTTCCTTTTCTATTGCCTCTCTTTTCTTTTCCTCTTGTTTTTCTGAGTAGAATCAATCTGTGCATCAGCTGAAATTATTTCCCATTTCACTGTGCTCCAAATCCCACAGTTCAACTCTCCAAACATACATGTGTACTGAATTCTCAGATGGGATTAGTTAGAAATTATTACCTTATCCAATACTTTCTGTTTGGCTTTTAAAACTTCCTTGTTTATGCAGTAGGGCAACTGTGGACATCAGCCTGCCATTCTAACTTTAAGGATGATAATAAAAGTGATATCACTAGAAAAGTGAAACGGCAGGATATGGTTTCAGTCACATTTCTTGGCAACTTAAAAGCATATCTCTTGAGTTTTGTTGTATACCTGCCTGCATGTCTATAAATGTGCCAAATCTGTGGAGCATCTTCATTAAGCTTGAGAAACATATTTTGTGTTGAGTATATATCTGGCATTTTTAAATGGTACTCTAGAGAGACCAGTATATGTGTATACATATAATGAAAGTAGACCAAATTACTGGTAAAATCTAAGAAACCTACAGGATATGTTTCATTCTGCCCTAACACATTTTTTCCTTGATGAGGAAGTAATTAGTTCCTTAAAACTTGCTGTCCCTTAAAGACTAATTCCAAAGGAAAATTCGAAAAGTTGATAAGAAATCTCCTCATGTACATTTTAAGGTAAATATACATGGTTAAGATGGTTTACTTATTTCAGAATGTAATATTATTTGAGATTTGCTTATATTCGTCAAGTGGATTTTGCATAAAATCACGATACCTATTATATTCACAAGTCAGAGGAATGGAGAGTACGGATACATTATATGTGATATTTTTTAAGTTCAGAGTATTTTATTAAGGTTAGAGTTTATGGCCTTGTTACTCCCCAAGTGATAAAATAAATTTTATAGAGCAGAGCAGTCTGCAATTTTTCAGTCACATTCTATAAGTATCTTCATACACTAGATCTATAGCCCATTCTGTTTCATTACATATAATATTTCTTACTTGTACTTTTTAAACATATATTTCCACCAACTCTTTACTGCAAGTATAAGTCATGAGGCAGAAAGTCAAGTGTGTGAGACCAGGGTCCCTGGACCTGTGTAAGCCAAACTCTCTAGTGTCATCTTGAACAGTGCCTATTCCCATAGATTGAATTGGACATCTTTGCTCTCTGATTTAATGTCCTGTGGCCACTCACTAACTCATTCATTAATTCACTTATTACTTATTAAATATGTATAAGGAAAATAGTGCTTGACTAGAATGTAACAAATGCAAAAGATATTGAAGACAGTCCTGCCTTCAAGGATATTTTAAAGTGTAGAGAATCCAAAAATAAAACCTTGAATAACTGATTGAAGAATCATGGTTATAGTTCAAAATGATAGCTTTTTTCCATACAGAAATGCATTTAACAATATCATACTTAATAGGTTAAGACAAATTCATGTAGAGGATCATGAAAATTTGTCACAGGCTATGCATTTGGGAAGTGTTAGAAAACAATAACAATAATAATAAAACATTTTATTAAAATTTTAAAATTTACATTTAAATTAGGTAAGAATACTATCATTATAAGTAATATTTATTTTATTTTATTACATAAATAAAATAAAGTTATTATTATAACAGACACTTAAGCTAGGTACTATTTTAAGCATTTTACAGATATTAATATTTTCATTTTTACAGCTACCTTGTGAAGTTACTATCAGTAACCTTTATTATATATTATATAATAGATATGAAAACTAATGTTCAGAGACTTTTCTTAACTGTTTAAAATCATATGGGAAGTAAATGGTAAAGTCAAACTTGAACCCGGGTGTTCTGGCTTCACTTAACCACTATGATATCTAGAAATATTAAGAAGCATGATCCCAAGCAGAACAAGATGTTTGTAATTCCTAGATTTATTTGGAGCTATGTGTTCTCACTAAAAGATTCTGTTGTATTACTACAAGGAGGGGAATGCTTGGAAAAGGCCAAAAGTAGGGAATTTTTTTAAGTAGGAGAAAATTCCCAAATTTTCAACATGAATTTGAAATAAGAAGGTAGTTTAGTTAGAGGCTGATTTTTAAAATGTGGGTGGGATTTTATCACATTAGGCAGCACTATCCTTATACTAACCACAGAAAGTGAGGCTGGCAGACACAGATGATCTGATCGGTCAATTTCTGATGATAGTTTATTTTCATTTTTAGTTTTTTTAAGTTTATGAATTACTTTGAATAAAATATAGTATTACAAATACATTTAATTTAGCTATTTTTAGAATTATATGTTCAGGTTTTAAAAGAAAGTTATTACTTTTGCAATATTATTTTCTTTTACTCATGTCCCCATTTTTTCCTCTGTAAAATGTAACCCTAGTATTTTAATGGAAGTTAAAATACAGTCACTTAACAGATTTACTTCCTAGTATATTTTTAGAATGCATTTATTTTATTAAGTGGCAAATAACTACAATAAAATCATGAAACCATAAATTAAATTATAAATTGAGATTTTCATCAATAGAACTTTATATAATATTTGAAGTAGTTTTTTCTAAATAGCCACTGCTTCTATCTATGTGAAAAATATCATCTGGATTAAATTTGAATGATAAAAGGATTAAATTTTGGCTTGTAGGAGGCCATAGGATCAAATATTTAATTATAGCCTCATTGATTGACATTTTTATTTTTCACACAGATGTTAAGTCTCATAGGTTCAGTCACATTTTATAGCCAACTTTCAACCTACAATTGACTTGTTGTAAAAAAGTTCTTTTTAAAAGTTTGGTTATTTTAGAACTTACATATTTCCTCATAAAAACAGTACTTGAAATGATGTTTAGGTCCTCAGACCAATCTACCAAATCCTTTTTAATCAACAATATACCTGAAGTACAGTACTATTAATACTAAAAAATCCCAACCATGATATATAGCATATTCCTGGGAAATCATTTGATTTAAAATACTTACTGACTTCTGTTTCAGGCTGTCTTGCGATACAGTGGTGGATGCAATACTGCCTCAGCCCACAAGGAGGAGAAAAAATGGAGAGGGAGTTTCTATCCAACTAACTCTGACGTTAGCCAGAATGAAGGAAGCTTTTTAAGATTGGTATAGGCAAAATGTTGAATAATTGATTCGGAGTTCTATCGTGAGAGCCAGGGACTGCGTCTCCCTCAGGATTCTCATTTGGTATTTCATCCTAAAGCTATCCGCTGAGCTCCTT